AGGACATGTCTTTCCAAATGGTACTGTGTTGTAAATATACTGACAATGAACCACCTGGCATCAGACTCCCCAAAGTCTTGGCCCAGGTTGATGAAGCCAATTTGAGTTTTCACCCTCACCTCTTTGCAGTTTATTTCCCTGACATGAAGTCTTGCCCTCACTCCATGAATTGTGAGTTCTCCGGCACTGCTTGTCTTATAGGCTAAGGTTGGACACCTAGGGGAATGCAGTCCCTCATCCAGTAAAACCACAGATTGGGATCAGAGGTGAAAAGATGGTTCTTCAGTGAAGAGAATTGGCCTCTCTTCCAGAGGACCCTAGTTAGATTCCCAGCACCCACACATGGCTCACAACCATCTGTAACTCCAGTCCCAGGGGATCCCACACCTTCTTCTGGCCTCTGAGGGCACTAGACATGCATGTGGCACACTGACATACATGCATGCAAAACACCCATACACATAAAAATAAATATTTTCTTAATGGTGAGGTCAACAATAGCAGCTTCTCCTCCCTGATAAAGCCTGCCACGGTCAGGCAAGGAGACCTCTCAAAGGCCACCTCAGGCTGACACACAGCACTCTTGGGTAGTAAGTTGGGCCTAAAACAAATATTTAGGAATGCTAGACTTTTATCCTCTCTGAATGAACATTTTAAAAATCCCGCTGAGCCGGGCAGTGGTGGTGCACGCCTTTAATTCCAGCACTTGAGAGGCAGAGCCAGATGGATCTCTGTGAGTTCAAGGCCAGCCTGGTCTACAGAGCAACATCCAGGGCAAGAACCAAAACGGCATGGAGAAACCCTATCTTGGGGGAAAAAAAAATCCCACTGGGACTGTGAGTGCTCAGCCACAAATGGGTCATCTATATCAATCTCCCCTCACTCCAGGCTCAGAGAACAGCACACATGAAAGAGTGGGCAAAAGACATGTAAAAGCTGGAAGAGAACTCTGTGAAATGTCTTCTAGACATGACACAACTCTCAGCAGCTGTTGCTGCCTGCATAAGACCTGCATGAGATAAAGCCAATCAAATTTCCAGCATGGACCCTAGTGGTTGTGGTGCATGCCTTTGATTCCAGTATCGGGAGGCAGAGGCAGTCGGGTCTCTGTGAGTTCGAGGCCAGCCTGGTCTACAAGCGAGTTTCAGAACAGCCAGGGCTACACAAAGAAATCCTGTCTTGAAAAACAAACAAAACAATTCCAGCATGGATGAAGGAGGGACTCCTGAGGTCCCACTCCTAACTAAAAAGCTATTGGCAGCTGATGGCTTCTAAGAGAGAGTCACTTTTCTTTGAGGGTGTGGACACTGTCCATGTCCCAGTGGATAATCCCATACCCATATGCATATGGTTAACATTAATTAGAATCAGAGGGCTAGGGGGCTGGGGAGATGGCTGACAACAAAAGATAAATAACAACAACAACAACAATAATAATAAAAGGATTTGAAGTCAAGAGGGAGACAGGTTGGTTGGTCCCAGGGAAGAGTATGGTGATATTTTATTTGTACTAAAATGTGATTTTATTTGTATGTTAATATATAAAGTTGCCTGGGGGTCAGAGCTAATAGCAAGCCATAGCAGAAGCTGGGCGGTGGTGGCACACACCTTTAATCCCAGCACTTGGGAGGCAGGGCTAGGCAGATCTTTGTGTGTTCAAGGATCTAGCCAGCATGGAGACACACGCCTTTAATCTCAATACCAACCATAGAAGACCTGGAGGTCTGTATAGATGGGCAGTGATGAGGAGGTCATGTGGTTGGGTTTAAAACCAATGAGAAGGCAGAACAGAAAGTCTATATAAAGACAAACACACAGGAAGTAGCTCTCTTGGCTGAAGAGGACAGCAGCAGCAGTGAAGGGTAAGGTTTTTAGCTCTTAGCTCTGACATCTTGGGCTTTCATCTCTGCATTGCATTGGCTCTGGGTTTTTTGTTTGTTTGGTTGGTTGGTTTTTGGTTTTTCGAGACAGGATTTCTCTGTGTAGCTTTGCGCCTTCCCTGGATCTCGCTCCGTAGACCAGGCTGGCCTCGAACTCACAAAGATCCGCCTGCCTCTGCCTCCCGAGTGCTGGGATTAAAGGCGTGCACCACCACCACCCAGCCTGGCTCTGTGTTTCTTATTTAACAAGATGGTTACATCTACAGAAGAGTTGGAGGGAGGTAGCAGGGGGTTTGATAAGATCAAAAAGCATTGTATACATGCTAATGGTTGTAGGTCAGCACTTACCCTGTGTACACAAAACACTAGGTTTGCCATGCCTGGTGGTGCAGGACTATAATTCTATCTGCTCAAGAAGCTGAGGCAGGAGGATTGTAAATTAGGGCCTGCTTGGACTACATAGTGAGTTACAGGCCAACTAGTGATATACATGGAGAACTCTTCTAAATAAGTAAATGAGTGAATAAATAAATTCCATACTGTAGCCAAAACCACTGAATACTTTTTTTTTTTTTTTAACCATTCTGGATTCTCCAGAAGCTGCCACTGGGCTCCACCTCCTGGGCAACCAGAGGGGACAATCTGATTAGTCAGTGTTTAGTTAGTGTTGTCTTTTGACCTGTCCCCTGAGACAAGCTGTTTCCATAGCTTTCAGCCACAGCCTGGCCAGATAGACAATCCTGACCTCCCCCATTTTTTTTTTCTATACCAATTTCTGTCTTAAGTTTTGTAGCAGGGTAAATGGAATGCCCCCCAAAGACGTGCACATAAAATCCGTGAGGCCCAAGAATGGGATGTGATTGGGGACAGGGTTTTTTTGTTTTGTTTTCTGTTTTGTTTCTGTTTTTGTTTTTTGAGGCCGGGCTTCTCTGTATAGTTTTGGTGCCTGTCCTGGATCTTGCTCTGTAGACCGCCGGGCTGGGGATAGGGTCTTGACAATGAGATCATTTTAGATTATCTTCATGGCCTCTCAATCCAGGGTTGTATCCTTAGAGACTTAGTGACACAGGGCAGAGAACTCAGTGACACAAAGAAGAATGGCCATGTGGTCACTGAGGCAGAGGCAGGAGTGACTCAGTCAGAAGCTCAGGATGGAGAAAGACGGGGCAGTTAAGATTAGCTAGGAGACACTGCAGATGCCTGGCAGCAAGAGTGATCTTGTCTGCAGTTTTTGCTTTTTTGCTTTGTTTTGTTTGTTTTTTGAGACAGGGTTTCTCTGTGTAGCCCTGGCTGTCCTGGAATTCACTCTGTAGACCAGTCTTACCTCGAACTCACAGAGATCTACTTGTCTCTGCCTCCCAAGTACTGGGATTAGAGGCGTGTGGCACCACCACCCAGCTTCAATTTTATTTATGTATTTATTTATTTATTTGAGACAGAGTCTCAGGTAGCCCAGGCTGGCCTCAAGTTCACTCTGTAGACAAGAATGAGCTTGAGCATCGGATTCTTCTGCCCCCACTTCCAGAGTGTGGGGATTATGGGCTGCACCACCATATGCAGTTTTATCTTATGAAGTGCTAGAGATCTACCTCCAGCTGTGTGCATGCCAAACACACACCCCATCGACTGAGCTACATCCCCACCTCCCATTCACAACACAAGTTCAAAGGTCTCACTTTCAGAACTGGGAGCAAATATAGTTCTGTCAGTTCAGATTCCTGTGCATATGGGGCTTTACAGCCACTGCCACCTCGGGAAGCCACAGAGCAGCTACTAAAGTTGCTGCTCCCATGGAACATGGACAAGTGAGGAAGGACTGTCAGTGATTGGTCTCATAAATAGGCAACATGAGATCCCAGGTGTAGGAACTGGCAGCACCAAGGGCCAAGGAAAATCTTCTGCAAATGTCGCCCAAATTGTAGAGCTGGGATGAGCCAGCTCACCCTTCAGGGGCCTGCCCTCAGAAACTGAGTACCGTTACTTGATGGTCACTTCTACCTGTGATCTCAGCACCCTAGAAGCGAAGGCAGGAGAATCGTTAAGAACTCAAGGAGCAAGGAGAATGGCTGGGCGGCGGTGGCATATGCCTTTGATCCCAGAACTCAGGAGGCAGAGCCAGGCAGATCTCTGAGTTCAAGGCCAGCCTCGTCTACAGAGGGAGATCCAGAACAGGCACCAAAATTGCACAGAGAGACCCTGTCTCAGACCAAAAAAAAAAAAGTCCAGGAGGAACTGGGCAGTGGTGGCACATGCCTTGGGAGGCAGAGGCAGGCAGATCTCTGAGTTCAAGGCCAGCCTGGTCTACAAAGTGAGTTCCAGGACAGCCAGGGAGACACAGAGAAACTTTATTTCAAAAAACAAACAAAAAGAATTGGTATTCTGCAAGTTGATTCTGCTTTGAGGGTATCCATATTCTCTTTTCTCTCTCTGTCTCTGTCTCTCTCTCTCCCTCTCCAAGGTCTTGCTATGTAGCTTTGGTTGGCCTGAAACACCATCTAGACTAAGTTGGCCTCACACTCAGAGATCTGCCTGTCTCTGCCTCCCATGTACTGGCTCCCCAATACTCACTGATGTCAATATTCTTCACTGGCATTGGGGTAAACTGTGAAAATAACTTTATGATGGAAAATGATAGACACGGGGTCAAAGTATATTGTTGGAGTCTAATTGGAAGAGTGCAGAGAGCATGCTGAATTTTCCTGGGGCTGTTAGAACAATTCAAATGAGCAGTACAGGAAGGGATGGAGCTTCATAGCTGCTTTTGAAACATACACCCCACACAATAATGAATAAAGTGAAAACAAATGCGCCCATCATTTGAGTGGGATGTCGATAGTAATAGCAATAGGTCTGACAAAGTAACTGCATAAAAGGAAATAAAACCGACTGAGGACAAAGCTTCACTTGGCGCACTTGCCTAGCATGCCCAAGGTTCTACTTCCAGACCACAAACACCCCAACCCAAACATAAAGAAAAGCCGCAGGAACCATGGCAGGATCAAAGACTGGGAAGGTGCCTTAAAGCTAACTCTTCCCTCAGCATCTCCTCCAGGCTCCGCCTCAAACTCCGCCCCCAAGTTCTTCCCGGCTTCTAGGCTCCGGCGCTCCCGTACCCACCCACCCACCCCCGCATCCTGATTCCTCTGTGTGTCTTCCCAAGCTCCTTTTCTCTCCTGGCTTCTACCTTGTCTTTACCGCTCCGTCGCCGACTCCCGCAATGCCCCTTTCCTCCCCCCAAACGCCCCTTCCTCCGTTTCTTCAGGCTTATGGTCTAAATCTTCGTCCTCTTCTCCCCAGCTCTTCCTCCGGCTCCTTCCCTGCTCCTCCTTTCCTCTCATCCTGCCCCCTGCAGCTCCTCCCCATCTGCTAGTCACCCCCCCCCCCACTTTCTCAGGATCCTCTTCTCTCTCCACTCTTATTCTGGATTTTGCTCTTGACATCTGCCATTTTCTCCGGCTCCTCTCTCCTCTCCCTCCAGATCTCATCTTCTCTCCTCACTGCCACCCTCCTCCCAACACCTCTTCCGTTCCTCCTTTTCCCCAGCTCCTCCTCCCCCTCCAACCTTTTCGCTTCCCTTCACCATCCCTTTCCGACTGCTCCGCCTCTCTCTCTGCCCTCTGTTGTCTGCCTCGCCCCGCGGAGTGATCGATGGGTCCCTGCGCAGCCAGTCCTCGGCGCTCGGCTCGCCATGCCTGCGACGCTGCCATGGAGACGTAGCCGCAGCCTCCTGGCCCTGCCCGGGACCTGGAGCATCTGCGTCACCTGGGCCACGCGTGTCCGCGAGCGCCGGTCTAGAAGGCTGCTCCGCTGGAGCGTCTGGACAGGGCCGGGCAAGCGATACTTTTGCCAGAAGCAGGGGGGCGCAGGACGTGGGGCTTGCATCCTCCCTCCTCCCAGGAACTCGGCTCCATAGTTGAGGGACGCTTCTCGCACCCGCGGAAACCCTGGCACCACTAACCATCCGTGGGTTATTAAGGGACCTGCGATTGGCCCACACGCCTCACCCTTCTACCCAGCTCAGCTGGCCACATCTGTGAGTAGCTTCACTGAACGCTGGCCCATCGATGCTGCTCTTGATGGAGAGTGCCGTGATGGGCCTGCTCCCAGTGCCTGACAGTTTCTTCCCTTTGCAGTGTCACCCTTGGTAAGAGAGGAAGACTGGCTAGAAAAGGACCTGAACCAGCTCTAAGTACAGATTCCAACTGCGTTTCGAGTGGTGTGGACAGGTCAGCCCCTGCTTCAGACTTTACAATGCTCGTTCTCTCGGGACCCTGGATACATCTTGAGCTCAGAAGCATTGCAGGGGCAGTGGACACCTAACAGGCCGCCAAGAGTGGTGTGGAGTTTCCGTCAACGCTATACAGCTCTACTGTACAGAGCTTGGACCACAGCGCCAATCTGACCCACTTTCTGTCTGGAATGGCTCTCACATGGCTTCTGAACAGGGTCAGAGGTGTCTTGGCTTCCCCTGCCCTCCTGAGATCTTGCCCATGGAAGGTCTGAGTTGCCTACTTCCACTATTAAGTTGAACGAGGACTCCTTAACCCAACAGCCATCAAGGCTGTTGGCCAACTAGTTAACAGCCCAAAGCAGCCAGCTGCTTCTGACCTAGGAAAGCCAGGTGTGCAGGAGCTTGGGGCTGGGGGATGAGCGGTAGGGTCCCGCTGGCAGAGAAGGCCCTGTCAGAACGCTATGCCCGCCTCCGGTACAGGGACACTTCCTTGCTGATTTGGCAACAGCAGCAGCAGAAGTTGGAGTCTGTACCACCTGGTACATACCTGAGCAGGAGCCGCAGCATGTGGTACTCCCAGTATGGAAATGAGGCCATCTTAGTCCGAGACAAAAACCAGCTTGGGGTCTCTAAGGACACTGGCCAGTCTAAGTTTTGCTCAATCATGTAATTCCAGGGAGGTCCTTGATGGCTGTGAAGATCAATCTGTGGTATGAAAACTCAACACCCAAGAATATCACCCAGCCCTCTATCAATGGCACACTGCCGAGGCCCTGGCAATGCTTCCAGACAAAAAGAGAGGCCAGTGAGATGTCCCCAGCTCCTGTGAGCTGCTTGCCTGACACAGAATGGGTCAGGTCCAGGGTAAAGAGGGGACTCTCTTCCTGGAGGGTCTCAGATCTGTCAGTTTACTGCAGTGACATGTGAAAAGGGGCCAGAGCTGGGGTGGCATTTCAAAACCAAGAGTTTTGAACAGGGTGACCAACTGTTATCCATTACTGCATTGTGGTTAGCACCCACACTGGTCTTGTATATAGGTGTGTTGTGTCCTAAACACCTTAAGTAAAACCCTCCAATTTAAAGCTCCATCTAAGTTGCCTGGGTCGATTCCAAACTTAATCGCGTGGGAAAGAGCATCTGCCCAATGGTGGGGCATCGGGACCTCCTTTCTACCAGGTTGCAGTGGTCTATCACATGTTCCACCTCAGTACACATGGTGTGGACAGCTGGAACATACTTGCCTACGTAGCAGTTCAAGTCTGTGTGGCTATGCAAATTCGGAGATGTTTGTCAAAGTTGAGCCTTCTAAATAAACGTCCTAAGACTCTACCCTTTCTCATTTATCTTGGTGTGTAAAACCTTACTTGGCTTTCTGCCCCAATACAGGGATACATAAAGCAAGCCTGGTACCTCCCTCAGGACAGCCAGTCAGAAGGCATGCATGCTCTCACTGCACTGTGTGCTCAGTCACAAACTGCGCCAGTGGCATTACCCCCACTTGCAACCTGCTCTGCCCACTCACCAGGCACTTAACTGGCACAGAGATGGCACCTGGCTTATAATCTGCAAAGAGTATGTATCTCTTTGCAGGAGTGGACGTTTGCACTAGGACCAGGACACAGTGCACTCCTCAAACACTTCACCCAGCCACAGACCCAGCTAGCAGGAGCCTCCTGAGGAACCTAGGTCACTTGGCTCAGTGGACTTCTGTAGTGTATTCTTGTCCATTTAGAGGGGAAGCTCGTATAGTACGGGCTGGTTGGTCTGATTGGGAGGTCTAGCACTTGGAAACTGTTCCAAGTTCATGAGTTTGTCAAGCCTTTCAGTTCCATTGAAGTCCTGCAAGCAAGCTTCAGACTTATCGGCAATTTCTGCCACCTGCTCACACCTCACCCTAACCCAAGACCACTTCAGACGCAGCACTGACTTGGAGACAGGATTTGAGGTCACAGACTGTTGGAAAGGTAAGCACTTGTGGGGCAGCTTCATCAGGCGCGGGTGGCACACAAGCCTCAGGCCCCACAAAGGACACTGGGGAGTCACTAAGCTGCTTAGACTACAGGAAGATGCCATCTGTGTTTAGGAGGCCAGGCCAGTGCTGGAAGAGACTAGTCAGATGAGAAAGGTTAGTGTCAGCAAGAACAACCCAGTATCAATGGGGTGGACATGCCATAGGACCCAACATGAACCTCCTGCCCAGGCTTGATGCCAATGGTTTGGCCATCTGGAAAACAACTTTAGGGTCCTCATTCCTTCTTCACTATGTCTAAGCCACTGCACAGCCTGCTCTCAGTGAGTGCTATACGGTTCTGTATACATTCTCACATTTCCACTGGGCTCACTACATGTGGAGGCCTGTGCCACAAATAACCTGGCAGTAGACTGCAGTAAGGTGGGGATGGAACAGACATTAGGTGAGACCATCTGAGGAAAGCCTTGATCCTTGGGAAGACAGTCAGTCCAAGTGAGGACTGCAAAGGACACCCTGTCCCCCAGCACCATGACACAAGATGGCAGCTACTCCAAGTCCTTTGCTGCTGTTCTGTGAAAGGGCTCCCTCTCTTACTGTGCTGTGGACTGGCCTTAAGCAATTCACAGCAGCCAAGCAGTGGTGGCACACACCTTTAATCGCAGTACTTGGGAGGCAGAGGCAGGTGGGTATCTGAGATCGAGGCCAGCCTGGGCTACAGAATGAGTTCCAGGACAGCCAGAGCTGTTACACAAAGAAACCTGTTTCGAAGAAACAAAAACTAATAATAATGATAATAGTAATAGTAATTCACAGCAGCTCCACTGCCTCAACCTCCCAACAGGTTACAGGTGTCACCACACTTAGCTCGGAATGTTTCTCAAAGCCCCTTTTGGATGTTCTATGTAGTTCTACCAGGAGCTGTAAGAGGTATAGTATGAGGAGCTGATCCCGAGCTCTTAGAAAGAGGCACCACAGCAAAGAGCACTACGCAGACACAGCCTTTTCCCCCTTCTTTTTATTATGAAAACAAAACAAACACCCCAGGAGAAAGGTTCATGATTACCAGAGACACCAGAGTACTTCCTACCGTTTTTAACTCTGTGGTGTTGAGGCCGGCATTGCAAAAAACAAGCTAAAACTACTTACAATGGACTCATTTTCAGTAACTGACATTTACAGGAATATACTAGAAACGGCACTAAAAAGTTTTAAGAAAAGTTACGGTAAACTTGCATGCACATCATACAGAAAAGAAACATTTTAAATATATATATAAAAAAGAAAAGCTTCTGGAAGTGTTACACCAGTAGCAGGGACAGTGATAAACAGGATGACAAGGCTTTAACAGTGTGACAGCTGCAAAGGGACAAACCAAGAAAACCACACAAGAAAATGTCTCCAGTCTGTAAGCAAGCCAAGTTACACAGCCCGAGGAGGCCTGCACCCCAAAGCCCACTCCTCGGCCTCCAAGACTCTGCCAAGTGCCCACCCCACCCCTGCATGTGACCCTCAAGGAAGCTATGGACAGCTGCCCTCCACCTCTGTACAGGGCAAGCTAAGTCTCTGTAGCCTTTGTAACTCAGAAGGGAATGGCAGTTACCCTGCAGCCTGGCATTGTGAGAACCAATGGCCTCTAAAACTCTGGAGACAAAACAGTTTATGTCTGGACAAAAAGCTTTTTTAAAAAAAAGTTAAAAGCACCAATTACAGAAGCTGCTCAGTAGGGACCAGTCGTGGAAATGCCAGACCCTCCATCCTGTGCAACCAGCTCTACACCACGGCCCCGCTGCTGGGATGCCACTCCAGGGCCGGACTCTGCTTGCCTGACAGCTCACAGAGGCACTCTGTGTATGCCCAGGCACTGTGCCCTGCCTAGGCACGCTGGCTAGGCTGTCACAGTAGGCCACCAGAGACCCCAAGTGAAGGCCTGTCAATTTCCTCATGTTTATTTCTTACAATCACAGCTTAAATATTCTATTAAAGATCTGTTTAAAAAATACCTTTGAAGAACAAGGGTAACTTTAAAAAAATGGAACCTTAAAATCCACTTATATTTTTATTATAAACAAAACTGGCTTACAAGTTTAACAAACTGGCTGATAACTCACCAGGCGTCTAGACATGGCCGTCAGCCAGCCACTTCCCGAGCTTGACACCCACTACCTGTCCACATCCACAAGGGATGGTGGAATTGACTTTAGGTATTTTAAGCATCTCCCACGTAGGGATGTTGAGGATGAGTCCTGGGCTCTGCCTAGAAGCAATGGAAGAAACTGCAGGGACCCCCACCACAAGTAAAACCACCCACCACAAGGCTCTGCACTTGGCGCTCTGAGGTGGGGAGTCAGAAGAACCAGTTTCCTGGGCTAACTGGAAATTCTTCAACAGGGAGCCCTGTGGTCGGTCATCAGGCTCACCTCTGCCCCCGTCCAAAGTAGAGAGGTCAGGAAGAGAGCCTCCACAGGCTGGAGAGGCAGGTACTTACAAGCCGGGGAGAGTGGCCCGTGTGCTCCTGGCTGAGGCCACAATGCTCAGAGTAATCCAGGCTGACCCTGAATTCCAAAACCATTTGGAAGCCTCAAAAACAACAAACTGATCAGAAGTTTCTGTTAAACTCTGTATATTATTACTTTTTACAATAGAAAATTAAATGTCAAGACCTTGGCCTGATATACATCGCTTTTCTCTCAGCTTACAAAACTTGTTGAAGAACCGAGGTTCCCTCCGTTGATGTTAGCAAGAAAGAACTGAACAGACAACATAAAATGAAGATGTGCTGCAGCCGAAGGGTGTCTACACTTGTAAAGTCCCCAAATTTCATTAAGGAAAAAAAAAAAAAAAAAAAAAAAAAAGCCAACGAGCCCAGAGCGCCCAGCCGTGATGAGCACCAGAGGGGCACGCCGCCACGGGACCGATCTTCTCACCACGGGTCCGGTCTCCTCGTCGTCGCCAGAGGCCTGCAACTCCACTACTTCTCCTAATGCACTTATTTATGGTTTTTTCTTTTCTTTTTTTCTTTTTCTTTTTTTTAAAAATGACCAATGATGTTAATAAATAAAGTATTTATATATACAGAAAACTGGGGAGGTGGTTCAGAGTGGGAGGCGGCGGCAGCCAGGCAGCGCTAGCAAAGTGGGGCACGCTGGGCTGGACTTCTGTAGAAAATGGATGAACTTACAAAAAAGTTTTCTTGTTTTTTTTTTTTTTGTTTTTGTTTTTGTTTTTTTTTAATCTTTTTGTTTTTATTCCCTTAAATTGAGGTAAAAGTTTCGGTGTCCCGAAACCTGCACGCTGTACACACAGCCATAGGGCTAGAGAACTCAGCACCCCTCTTCCTCCACGCCCAACTCAGAGGTGGGAGGCTCTGGTCTGCAGCTACGAGGACCCTCCGCTGGGGCCCAGTCTCATCCGTGGGCTGACACATCTGTCCTCAGCCCCTGCAGAGAGAAGTAACCTGCTGGTTAGTGTTCTAACAGCTTTCAAACACAGAACCCATTCCAGAGCAATACCCTTGAAAAGCTTCCTTCAAGTTACTAAGGGCGAGGCTGGGCCTAGAGAGGTATTGGGCAGGTCCAGCCACGCCTCCCACAGCGCTGTGTCTATGGTTATCAGGTTAGCATCCCAGGACGCAGTCTCCAAAACAACTAAACCAAGCTGCAAAGGCATTTCCCGCCGAGCTCGGCCCTCTCTTGGGGTCTGGTGCATGTGCGAGGCTCTCCGCCCTACCGGAGCACAGCTGGAAGAGATCATAACACTGAAGTCAAAGAAAACCTGCACACCATGGAACGAAAGTATATTAACCATAGGAGGGGACACTGCAGTCGGCGTGTGCCACGTCCATCTGTCCAGCTCTGTTCAGTCCGAGATCACTCTGAGTCACTGCTGTCGGAGCTGGACCCGCTGGAGCTGCTGCTTGCAGACTCAGAGGAGCTGCTACTGCTGAGCCTTGACGGGCCTCCCGAGGGCGCTGAGCTGGACTTCTCTGCAGGGACACAAGGGAGGCCCTCGCTGAGCATTGTGTCATCGAAAGCGTTTGCGCCACCACCCTGCCATAGGTTGTCTGTGTCTTGACCCAGAGGTGTAGTACATATTTGAAGGATGCCCATAAAGTAGCATTCAGTGGCTACACAGCACCAGGACACATGTCACAGACCCTCACAGCCCTATCTGACACCAAGAAGATGGGAACCACAAAACTATAGCACTCAGTTGGTATGCAAGCCTAGGTGGGATCCCAGCTGACCAATGGTCTCAGACTCTGTCCACTGCCTACATCCTAGAGTATCTCTGAAGCCAAAGGAAAAAGGTCTCAGACTCCAGGAGGAGGAAGAGACAAAAATATCTGGTCACCTAAATCTAAGGCCTGGGCTGGAGGCAGAGCTTGCCACTGTAGCAATTTAACATGTTGGGTTAGGAAGTCAGAAATTCACTGCTTCCTACAAGCTGGTGATTGACTGACGCTTAGGGGTGAGGAAGTAGCAGGGGTGGATCCCAGGCCCTCAGCATCGAAGCCAGCCCTGAGGAGCTCTTTCCAAAAACCCAACTGCATGGGCCTTTAGCAAGCACACGCGCGCGCGCATGCACGCACGGTTCTGCACCCGCCCAAGGGCCCAGGATGCCCCACTCCTAGTTGCAGATAAGTCTCAGAGGTGCCAGGAGGTTGACCACACTCTCCTGGCCCTTGTGAATGCTGTCCTCTGACAGCAGAAGGCCCGGACGGTTACCTTTCTTAGTGGGTTTCTTGCTGTTCAGTTGTCCACTAACATCCTGTAGCCGCTTCTCCAGCTCCTTTTTCTTCTCCTGAGCTAGCTCTTCTTTTGATTTGGCTGCCTGCTTCTTCCCGCTTGTTGCTGTAGAATGACAGGTGAACAGTGAGACATTCCCTACAGCTGTGCCAGAAACCAGCCCCCAACCAGGTGGCCAAAAAGCCCCAGCCCCACACACTAGTGCATGCACCACCCGCCCTGCTGCGGGATCAGCAAGGGGCGGAGCTGTTATCGGATCCCTGGGTTGCAGGAAACATGGAGACCTGGAACCGTTGTGATGCATCTACTGAGTCCTCCCTCGTTGCTACACCTCACCAGAGTCCAGAGCCTGGGCTATGGCTTGTCCTCTGTTCCCACAGACAGAGCACAGACTCTCTGTCTCAGTCCTACTTCAGCACAGCTAGTCTCTCCTGCCTGAGCCACAGAGACTGACATGGTCTGGGAGAGTTCAGCCTTCACCATCAGATTCCTGTATCATTATCACCCTTAAGTCAGTCTGTCCCGGAGTAAATGAGAACCACACACATGTGAGCACGTTCTCACACATAGGTTGGCATGACCCCAGACAGTGAGGGGCTGCCCTGGGATTTCCCTTCCTCCCAGCCTCTAGCACCTGCAGACCGACCCTGGCAGTGACTGGTTCCTGTCTGGTGAAACCATCAAATTCAGGGTGCACTGTACCTAGGGTCAGAGTCCATCCAGTGGGGATTCTGGACACTTGTCAGTCAAGGGAGTGAGAATTTTCCGTTGCCAAAGCCCCAGATGCAGCCTTAGGAAGGGGTGTGAGAAGGGCCCTAACTAGATCTGAATGAAGGGGCTGGGCCAATCCCAGGTCCTGCCTTTTCACTGCAGGCCAGTTAAGGCCCAATAGGCATCTTTCTTACCAGAGAACAGGGAAGAGGATATGGGGGCAGGCTGTACTGGCTGAGTGCAGATGTCCCTGGGCCTGTGGTGAGCAGGTAGACTTAGACAGCAAGGCAGCTGTGAGTCAGTGCCCACTCTCAGGGAATGGAGGCTATGAGCAACATGCTCTGCCAGAAAACTTACACAATGGTTTCCTCTGCTTTTTCTGTAAACAAGACTTGACGTATCTCTCCAGTTCCCGTAGTGTGGTTGGCTTCAGGGTCTCAAAGTCAATTTCAATCTCATCTGGGTTTGAGTCCCTGAGTGAGGGCTCCCGGGACTGGATGATGTGCACCACACGGCCTAGCTTCTCGCCAGGCAGCCGGTTGATGTCCAGGCTGAGTTGACGCTTTTCATCATAGCTCATGGGCAGGCCCTCCTCCTCTTCCTCTGAGTCATAGGATGCAGATGCCTGCTTGCCACCCTTCTTCAGCTGTCTGAGGCAGAAGACAGGGAGCCATGTGACATGGAGTCTCAGTTATCTGTCCCACCACCTAGCCCTCTTCCTTCTCCACTACAGACTGCTCCCTTCCCTAGGGGTGTACACAAGGTTCTTCAGGAACAAGAGCTGGGCAAACTCTCTGAGGATGGATGTCTAGTCTGCAACAGGTGTTTCCTGGCTGAGGGCCCAGTCAGGAACTACCTCTCAAACCCAACAGGTCAGAAACAGAGAATTTGGAATGCGGCAGGAAGAGGAAAAAAACAGGGACAGAGTGATAACATGGTAGATGAAATTCAAGTGTGTCAGTTATGACATTAAATGCAAGTGGCTGACATACCAGCTAAAAGGAAGATGGTCAGACGAGAAACAAGACCCTTTAGTGTCAGTTAAAGCGAAGGAGACGGGAAAACACACCATACAAGCCTCAACAGGGAAAATGGTCGTAAATTCAAAGAGAAGGTAGACTGCAACAGGAGACCCTGTCTCTAAAGGGGTGGGAAAGCCATACAATGGCTGTATTATATCCTTACAAAGAGGGCTTCAGGGGTTGGTGGGATGGCTTAGTGGATGAAGGCTTGATAATCTAGTTCAATCCCCAGCATACACACATAATGAAATGGGAGAAGCCCCTCTTGTAAAACTGTTCTCTGACCTCCACATGTGCACTGTGGTGTATACACACACACACACACACACACACACACACACACACACACACTCACACACTCACAAATACATGTGATTTTCTAAAGACAAGTTCTGACTATGTAGAACTCTCCTGGCTGTCCTGGAATGTACTATGTAGACCAGACTGGCCTTGACCTCACAGAGGTCTGACTGCTCCTGACTCCTGAGTGCTGGAACTGAAGGCATGAGCCATCCCATCTGGCTTGCTCTTAATTTAAATTTAAAATTTTAGCTTTAATTTTTGTAAGTTAGCAGCTAGCCTGGTTTACACAGTGAGTTCTAGGACAGACAGGGACACAGAGAGAGACCCTGTCTCTCTCTCTCTCTCTTTTTTTTTTTTTTTTTTTGGTTTTTCGAGACAGGGTTTCTCTGTGTAGTTTTGGTTCCTGTCCTGGAGCTCACTCTGTAGACCAGGCTGGCCTTGAACTCACAAAGATCCACCTAGCTCTGCCTCCCAATTGCTGGGATTAAAGGCGTGTGCCACCACTGCCCCGCCCCCCCTTAAAAAAAAAAAAAAAAGATTAAAAGCAACAAGAAGTCAGATCAAGCAATATTACCTGGAAGAGAGACTGAATACATTGAAGGAGTCTACACCATGTGTAAACTGTCCACAAAGATACTTTAGTCCTACAGATGTACGCATTAAAGCCAGGCCACAAAATGCAGAGTGGAGGAGTCCTACAATACACTCAACCCCCAGGAAATGGGAAAAAAATAAGAAAGTAAACAGTCTTAAGTGTTCCTAATTGAAGCCGGGCAGTGGTGGTGCACATCTTTAATCCCAGCACTCAGGAGGCGGAGGCGGAGGCAGGAGGATCTCTGAGTTCGAGGCCCGCCTGATCTATAGAATGAGTTCCAGGACAGCCAAGGCTACACAGAGAAACCCTGCCTCAGAAAAAAAAGAAAAAAAATCCCTAATTACTCTGGAATATTATATCCCATCATTTCAGGGACCAGAATTAACAGGGATCCCAAACCCAGCAAAGACAGTATGAGAAAAACTGATTCCTGTGTCCCTTGCAGGAGAGAGAGAGAGAAGAAAAGAGCCCAAGGCAGGTGGGAACAGAGACCGCCTGCACCGCCTCTTGGCTGACGGTCTCAGGGTTGCACACACCTTTCTCCTGAACGCAGGCACTAAAGCCTTCCCACCTCAGCCCCAAGCAGCTGTCCAAGCCTCTTTCTCTGCTGCCACCATCATTGCAAGGCAGTGTCCTCACGTCCATGACCGCTGCCCATGGACTTGTCCTCCCCAATGGCCAGAATCGGACCTTCGGCGGTCTCTGGCTCCCTCCCTCTGAGGACGCCTGGCCAGAGCAGGGCACCTTGGCAGTCCACTTAGCCTCTCCAGGTCTATCAATTCCACCCCAAAGGAGCATGTCTGCTAGCCTCGCCTGAGGCTCTGCCCTGAGCGCCTACTGCCCACCTGCTCAGAGCAGCTGCTACTTCCGCCTAGCTAGAGAATCCTCTCTCCTGCTCTTTTTCCTCCTTCAATCCCCCTGCCTACCGGGTGCCCTAGAAATTAGAGCACTTGGCTCCGCAGTGAAGCCCCTTGGCCCACATCAAGGGAAGGTCCCAAACACCGGAAGCAACGGATGCCTCCTTTGGCAGACACTCTAATGCCCAGCAGAGCCAGCCAGACAGGTGAGGATGACCTCCGCTGCAGGCCCCAGAGGCACCCAGGCGCCCCGAAGTCCCAACCCAGTTTCTGTGTAGCCAAGGTGCAAAGTCCCAGATCTGGCAGTCCTTGTGACCTGAGGTGGTCCGAGAGCCTGGCAGGTGGCCACCCACCTGCTGGCTGTGGTTGTGCTATTGGCCTTCTTGGTGGGAGCCTTCTTCTGCTGGGCCTGCTTGGCTGGTGGGGCGGCCTTGGCCTTCTTCTCCTCCTCAGACTTGGCCTTGTGCTTCTCCTTCTCTTTGTCTTTGTCCTTGTCTTTCTTCTTCTTCTCCTTCTCCTTCTTCTCCTTCTTCTTCTTTGGTTTGTTTACTGGGGCCTGAGACAAGGCAGCCAGCTGTTCATGTACGGCCTTCAGCTGGAAAAGAGCAGGCAGCTAAGCAGCAGTCGGGGTGGGCCTGCACCCCTGCGGCTGCCTCAGCTACGTGGGAAAAGCCAGGGGCATCTGGGCCCCGCTCTGCCTTTGGAAGCCAGAGAGATGTAGGGAAGCACAGCCCACTCTGCCCCTCTCGGTGCCTGCCGTGAGTCACTTCACCTTCTGAACCTGTTCCCTGACCTGTGGGGGACAGGGGCCCACCTCCCAGGGTGGCTGCCCATAGGCTGGGCTCGGGGCAGGTGACACAGGAGGAACTGGCAAGAACAGCTAATGCTTTCATTGTTAATGCTTATCTTTCCGATGACCGGACTAGAGTGTGAGCACCTGCACAGAGGAGACATTCAACAGCTGATCCTGGAAGGTTCCGCAGCCAGTCTGCGGGATCAAAGTGAGACAATGGCAGCAGCTCATCCTCCTGGTGCCCACCAGCAGCCAGCAAGGCAGAATGCTGCACTCATGTCTCGGGGAGGAGGACTGTGACCATCTCGTATAGGAAGCAGGTACCCTGTGTGGCTCCTGGGGATCTTGGGAAAAGCTACATAGCCAACAGGGGAAGGTGTCATGCGCTGGGAAGGACTCATCGGTCCTAAGGGCCACCCCACATGGCCAATTCCCTGCTCCATGTCTTCATCACCTCAGAATCTGACATGTAGCTCCATCTGCTAACAGATACTCTACTCTCCTGGCCCCGCCTCCCCCCGGAGCCACCTGCTCATGCAGACTACTTTGCCTTGGTGGCTGCATCCTGACTTCGCGGGGCTGGCTACCACCCCCTGGGAAAATAGTTCATATTCTTGGGCTGATCCTCAAAACAAGTCATGTCATTCTGCGTATCAGGGAGACTGAGGCAGAAGAGAGCAGGGGAGGAACAGATCTGAGCCAAGCTCCAAGGGCTCCTTGGAGCTTGTAGCCACTCCTTAAAAGGCACCACTGTGGCCTGTGTATGACTTCCAGGTCTTTTGGGAGGACCCTGCCCCCGAGGTGTCCAAGAATGTCTCAGACACGCAGGTGCTTTTGGCCCCGTGTGCTCTTGGGTGTCGGGCTCCAGCCTCCTCAGACCCAGGAAGGTGCTGTGAGCAACCCCACCCCCCCAGGCCCCTCTAAGAGCACTACAGACAAGAACTGCAGCAGCTGGAGAAGGGACAGGTGACGGCAGACAGGCTTGGCGGTCCGTACCCAGCGGGGAGCAGCACAGAGGTGGAGTTCTCACCTGCTCCTGCAGCTCTGCCAGCCGAGTGGCCCGCTCCTCCTCTGAGTCGGAGCTGCCTGAGTCTGAGGAGCTCTCCTCGCTACTCCGGCTGCTCTCAGCACCTTTGCTCACGACGGGGGCTGTGGGAGCGGCCAGGGCGGGTGCTTCCACGGGCTCATCAGGCATCTTGGCAAACCTCATCTCAAACACATCCTGGGGAAAAGGAGGGACAGCTGAACACCTACACACCCACCTGACAGCCCCTCCAGCATGTGAGATGCCTCTGAGCTGCACCACACCATACACAGCTCAGGCCCTACGAAGGGACAGGCCTGCCACCTTCCTGTGTCCCCTTCTATCCCCAAGCAATTCCCAAGTGTAGGCCTAGAATGAGGGAAAGAGGCCAGCCAATCACAGATCTGTTTTTTGGGGGGCCTGGTATGCAGCTCCCTGGCTAAATCTGCAAGCCTGTCTGTGTAGGAGGCAAGGACAGCCCTGCAGGCCTGGGTGCCAGGCTCCCCAGGAATGCCCCTGTTAACAAGGGTGCCTTTCCTTCAGTCCTCAACTCCAGCAGGGACCCTAGCCACTGGAAGCTGGCTCCTCGCTCACCTATCTCCCTCCTGGGGTTTTACTGCAGTGGCACATCGCACACACCAGTGAGTGCCCAAATGGGCAAAGCCAGACTTGGGAAGCCCCCCCACAGCTCCTGCAGGAGCGGACAACTTAGGAAATCCTCTTGACGAAGATCCCTCTATCCTGGGGCAGACGGGGGGCGGGGGAGGGGGGGGCGGGGGCGGGCGGGCGGGGAGTGTGGAAATAAGGCGGTGGTATTCCCTCTGCCTGCCGCATATACTCGGTCCACCCAGACAAGCATGAGATGCACGCACGGGCACACCTACCATGCTGGAGCCCAGCTTCTGAAAGTGCCTACTCTGAGTGTGCCCTCAGACGCCTCCCAACCCTTGGATCCCCAAACTAAGAAGTCAGAGGTCTGGGAGGCTACTGCTGGCAAGTCATTATGGGGCTGGGCTCTAGCCCCAGTGCCCCGTTCATACAGCTAACAGTGGTGACCACTGAACAGCACTGATAACAAAGCCCCTCCAGCCGCTGTGGCTGGGTGGCTAACCATCACCTTCGACAGGGCAGCTTGCCTTTTAGTAGTAGCACGGTGCCCCTCGACATTGTATGACGAAGCCTTTGGAGTCCAAGCACAGCGAGCAAGGTCTCAGCAGTAGACAGGCCCTAAGGCTGCCCCTGCACACAAGGGGCCTCCATAACTACTGTGTCCTGTTCCCCAGCAGTGCCTGGCCAGAAGCAGGGTACAGCCAGCACTGGAGAGCCCTCATGGCTCACAGAGGTCCACTTTCCCTCACAGGGGGTGGGGAGGGGGCATTTTCAAAGGAAAGTGAGAAACATTAAGAGGACCCACAAGTGGGAAAAAAGTCTTTGCCCACCAATCCTCATAACTAAGAAATTCTCTTAGAACATTCTGGGTCCTAAAGCCAGGAGTTGTGGTACACCTGTAATACCAGAACTCAGGAGACTGAAGCAGGAGGATGACCATAAATTCAAGGCCAACCTAAGCTATAGAACCAGACTCTGTTTTAAAGTTTTTTTTTTAAAGTTTTTATTTTATGTGTATTTTGCCTGCACGTATGTATATGAACCACATGCATGCAGTGCTCACACAGGCCAGTAGAGAGCGTTGGATCCCCTGGAACTGGAGTTATAGATGGTTGTGAGCCACCATGCAGGTGCTTGGAATCAAACTCAGGTCCTATGCAAGAGTAATAAGTGCTCTTAACGGCTTAAGCCATCTCTCCAGCCCCTCAGACTCAGTTAAAAACAGCAACAACAACAAACAAAAAAACCAACAACCAAAACAAAACAAAACAAAAACCCCCAAATCAAAATCACAGTGTTCAGGTGCTGTTCTATGCGGCACCTGGTCCTGGGCAGTACACCCTATGTATATATATACAAGCGTTTACACATGCTGGGTGAAACCACATGGATTGCTCACTCACACTTGCACCAAAAGCTATGCCCGAACACTCTGGTCTCCCCTTAAGACAGTCTGTGGTTCTTCTCTAACACACAGTCACTGTCATTCACTGTAAGCCCACCCAGGCCTGCTCTAACACCTCAGCAGAATGGTCACCTGCCAGCCTCACTAGGGTACACCAGCCCCAGATGGACAGGCTCACCTATGGTGATACCCTGCAGGGCAGCTAGGCGTGGGCTCCTGCAGCCACAGAGGCCACTGCCTACTTCCCATCGTCCCATCCCAGCCTGAAACTTCCAAAATCAGGCTAGCCTCTTCACCATGTATCCTGGAATCTGCTCTAAGCCTAGCAGGATCTCACTGCCACACAGGCAAAAACAGGCTGTGGAATTAAGGCTCCTCAGAGGCCTGCCTGATGCAGATGCTTCTGAGACACCTGCATTACCCAGTTTACCCAGACTATGTCTAAAGGCTTCAACACCCACAGCATAACTCAGCTAGCTGTCAAATCACACTTCCACCCAGCCCTGGGTTACCTGGAGCTTTCTGGCCATGGCCACCACTTCGTGGTCTGGAGGGTTGTACTTGTAACAATTCGAGAACATTAACCGGATATCAGCAGCGAAGCCCTGTGCATCTGGGTACTCACGGCTGTCCATTTTCCTCTGTAACGAGCAACAAGTGTGAGCAGACGGCACTAGCCAGACCGTGTAGGAGATAGACTCGGATCCTCAGAACTTCCTCCGGCAACCAAGGCAATTGCCAGTCAGGACATCTGGCAATCAGCTTGGGTTAGAGTACTCAGAGGAGGGAGCCATGGGGGAAGGGGGAAGTGATGGTTCAACATGAAGCACCAGGGCTCCAAGGACAGAGCCACCGGGTGGAAGAAACACCGGGAGCCAAGCCAACCCCAGAGCCTACCCCATCCTCATCTAGTTTTTAGTTCCACATGGCAGATACCACAGAAGGTTCTGGCACTGAGGACTTTCATGGAGTTTCAGGTAAAGATTCTGCCAGTCTTGGGAAGCCCACTCAGTTTACTGAAGGAGACTTTGCTTTTCTTGTGAGGAATCCGGGAGCTGTTACCTACTTGCCTCTTAAGAGATGCCTTATGTCTTGGGCCCAGAGGCAGCTCTGAGTTTGTGCAGGGGTAGAGGGCAGCAGGGGCCTGTGGAGCTGATGCTGACCAGTCACGGGGACCTGGTCACCCCGTAGAGAAGCCCCTCAGACTCCACTGACGTCTAGTCCAAGGAGTCCCAGGTTGGGTGGGGTCACACAGGCACACAAAGCTGGGCGGGGCAGATTGGGGGGGAGTGGGTTGGCATACTTTAAGCTGTAGATGAGGGTGTGTGGATCCTGTCTTGTGTGGAAACCAGCAGTCAGTGACCTAGGGGCTAAGCACCCACCCCAACCTCTGATTGGACATGGGTTCCCACACACTGGAGGGATCTCAATAACAAGCTTGGCCCTTGTGCCTGAAGACAACCATGTTCTCAGCAGATGGCTGCTTGGAGAAAAGCCTCCTGGAGCTGGTATGGGACACGTCAGTACCATTTCCCCCTTAAGCTTTAATATTAAATTCTGTAACACAGTGGATGCTGAAGAGATGGTTCAGCGGTTAAGGGCACTTGTTACTTTTGCAGAGAAGCTGAGTTCAGTTCCCATCACCCACATGGTAGCTTACTGCCATCCATAACTCCAGTTCGAGGGGACTCAACGCCTTCTAAGCTCTGTGGGCACTAGACATGCACGTGGTGCACATACACACATGCAGGCAAAACACTCATACGCATTAAATAAATCCAGACAAACAAAAATGAAATCCACAACATATTAAGGTATTTCTTTCTCCCTTTACTGCATTGTCTTTAGAAATCAAGGCTGCCTTATACTCTTCTGCTAAAGTCTTTTCACGGGGTGTAACGGTCGGGCTCAGGCGTGAGAGAGTCACATGGGTAAGCACCTAGCCTCTCTATAAGCCTCAGCAAAGCACACAGTGACTTCTCAGTAAACTGAACTCCCAAAGCTGCCTCATCTTGGAACCAAAGGCAAATGAGAGCCCAACCAAACAGAATTATCCTGTTGCAATGCGTCCAAAACAGTGGAACCCCCAGCAAAGTTCCAGAACTCCACATAATGGCACAGTAGTGGCCAGGCAGGATAAAACAAGACTTCCAGCAGCTTTGGGGCTACATGGTTCCCAGAGCCTGCTTCCTCACCCCAGCCCTGCTGGACAGGCCAGCTGCTTGCTTCACCCTTACTCAAATTAGCACTGACCATACAGTGTTTTAGGTGGCCAGGCCTGCCTGACCCTGATATAACTACCTAGGACCAAAAGCTTCCACTGGAGAGTCTACCTCAGGTATGAGGAGGTCCAACAGCTGACACGATTGCCTTTGCAAGGATGCCTGGATGAAACACCCCACCATCCCACTGTCTGGCTTAGAGAACGGGGCTGTCTGCCTCAACTGGCAAGGGGAGTCCTGGGAAGTACCCCAGAGAATTCCTCTAGGAAGTACAGAAGAACCAAGCCCAGCTCTGGGTCATCATGTCCCAGGCTCCTTCCTCTACAAAAGCTCAAGTCCACTTTCACACCTGCCAGGCCCTGATCTGGCTGGACTCCAGCAAGAACCAGAATGAGACACTGGCTCTGGGAAAGCCTGGCATGGGGATGGCACAGCTGAGCTTGTGGCCTCAGTTCTCTGCCCATCTCTCCATATTTCCATCTGTCTGGGTAGGGGCAGGGCTCAAAGGTAGCCAAGGGCTAACGCAAGGTCCACCCCTGCTGGCCACCAGACTCCCACCTCTGCTGTGCGGTGCCTACACAACAGGGGTTTTGAGACAGGGCCTCTCTGTGTAGCCCTAGATATCTTGGAACGTGCTACATACACCAGGCTGGTTTCACACTCACAGAGATCTACCTGCCTCTGCATTAGCCTCAGAAGCAGACACCATTAAGAGCCCCCTTCCCTGGTGATACAGAACTGGGGGACAGAAGGAAGAATTGAACCACTGGTCTATGTTTCACCAGAATAAAAGACAATGGAGGGGCAGATTCGGACCAACAGGCCTTCTTCCCTGACCAGGCCAGGGTGTGGGCAGCCCAGCTCTCAAGGAGCAAAGGACATCAACAGAACAGGATCTGGAGGAGGTCAGAGAGGGCTCAGCCAGGCAGCATCACCAGGGGCAGAGAGAGTCTACTGGCTCTGGCTCTGGGCACCACCCTGCCCTCCACCCCACCCCACTTACTTTGACTGTGCTGAGGTCCATGGGGTGCTTGATGATATCGTGGTAGTCATGCAGCTCCAGTGCCTCGGCGTCCACTGGCTTGTAGAAGGGCCAAGCATAGGCAGCATGCTTCTTGGACAGCATCTCCCGGAGGATGCTGTCACAGTGCCGCAGATGCTCGGACAGCTTCCCCTTTTTACCCGCGTGCTGTGGGACCTCGCCATCTTCCAGGTCCTTCTTGGGGGGTTTGATGGGTCGGCCCCCGCTCTCCCGTCGGGCCACCACCTTGGCCTGCTTGGGCTCTGAAAGCGGCGGGGGAGACTCGCTCCGGCTGGCAGTGATGGCAGACGTTGTAGGTGTGGTTGTGTCCGCTTTCCGCTTCACGCCCTTTTTCTGTGACGACAAAGTTAACAGTGAACTCCAGAAACAAGGAAGCGGACGGACGGGGAGATGTGTCTCACAGCTGCCACACCTCTGGAGCGGCAGACTGCCTGCCTGCCAGGCGCCAAGCTAGCGACCACATGCAGGGTCTCATTTCCTCCTCAGTTGTCCCCACAGTACAGAAGACACCGAGGCTCAGAGGGGCCGGGCCCACAGCCCAAGGTCACACAGCTGGCCATGGTGAGGCTGGGACTCTCTCCCTCAGCCCTGAGGATTCAGCTATCCAGGTGGGTGAGCGTGCCACTGACCTGAGCAGCATGAGGTGCTGCGGGGAATTCACCGACATCTAACAAGCACCACAGACTGGTGCCAGGGACGGGGACTCCCTGCTTTGAAGACCAAGAGGACAGTGCCGGCCCAGACCCTGAGCAGGTGCTTCAAGGACAGACACAAACCGAGCAGGAGGAGGGGAGGCAGGAGGAGCATTCCAGGCTGGATGGGTGGGGGCAGCCTCACCAGGAGACAAGAAGCAGCCACAGCAGTTAGAGGCCAGGAGACTCCAAGGGCTGTAGGCACGGACAGACCAGGACTCTATCTGGAAGGCGCAGGCAGTACAGAGGGCTGCGAGGCCCAGGAGGTGCCACAGCCTCCCCTGGGTGCACCTGGAGCCAGCTGCACGCATATTATAGCCTCTAACAAGGGACCTGAGGGGGGAGGGGGTCTCTGCCACAGCCTGAAGAGCCCAACCAATAGGTATCACCAGCTGAGACGGGACCAGGGTTTGGTATATATTGAGACCTGCTCAGCGGATTTCTCTTAGCTTGCTTAGGTGGGCAGAGAAGCCAACAGGAGCCACAAACTCACAGGTCAGGTGATGGCAACAGAGCCTGCCACTCACAGCCCCCTGGTTACTTTCCCAGCCAAGCTGCCACCCTCAGGCTGACAGGGGCACAAGCTGGCCATCCAAAAACATTGATGGGCACCTACAGGATGGCAAGCACCAAGCGCGAGCTGCAGGGGACCTGGGGTGGGAGGGCAGACTCGCTGTGGCAAACAGCCTGGCCAGGCACCACCGGGAAGTGCAGGCAGTGAAGGCCACAGGGAAGGGAAGGCAACGGAGGTGGCATTTTACCTTGGGAGAGCCATTTAACCCCTGAGCGCCCGTTTCCTCATCTGTAAGAGGGGGGACTACTGCCTGCCCCAGAGGGTCACTGTGAGGATCAAATTGAAGAAGATAACACACATGAGTGCCTGTTATGGGCCCTACTCAAAGCAGGAGACTCAACAGGCCTTGCCAACCCCGCACCTCACAGAGAGCCCCCACTCCATCTGGGCCCAAATAAGGCCCGGCCAGGGCAGGACAGTGTCCACTGTGAAAACTCCCAGCAAACAAGGGATAGCTGTGCAGGCCCTTACGAATCCAGGCTGGTGCCACTGGCCACCACTCCCCCAGGGATGACCAGAGATGACCTGACCCCTCTACCCTCATTACTCCCCCGACACCTTCCCCACCTTCCCCAATGGCTTGTAAAGGCCAGGGCTACCAGGCCGGAGAAGCAGGGGTTCAAGTCCAGCCCAGCCAGCACCAGCCATGTGACCTCTACCCCTGAGCCTCGGTCTCCTTGTCTGTGTAGAAAACCTTTCCAAACTGCTGCACCTGGAGAGGCGGCAGAGCCCCCACCTGTCCCAGGGCTGCCCCTGCTTCAGGAACTCTATGGGGCTGGGACCCCCAGCCGACCTCACCAGATAGCCACACAGGCCTCAGGGAAGCTCACCTTGACTACAGGCGGTGTGGGAGGGACCACAGGGACAATGGGTGTCGCAGGAGGCGGCGGTGCAGCAGCTGGGGGGACGGGAACCGATGTGACGGTGTTTGCGGTGATGGTTGGTACAGGGGTGGCAGCAATGACGGGTGTCTGGGACACGGTGGGGGGTATGTTCTGGAAGGGGGCTGCTGGGGAGGCCGAGGAGACGGCTGCCACTTGTTGTGTACCTTCAAAGCAAGGACAGGGAGCTCAACTCAGTGGGCTCTGCATTTCCAGAAGCATCTAAGACCATGCCATCCAGCCAGAGCACCAGGGCCTTCTTGGGACAGACCAAGGTACCCCAGCTACAAGTCTCTCTTCCTAGCCTTGGGGCACGGGGTGGCCCTGCTGCCCAGGCAATGTTCACTGAGTGACTAGAAGAGGAAACCAGAGGAAGCCACAGAGCCAGCTCTGGGTGGAGAAACCCACTCCGAGCCCACAGCTAACTAACTGGCAACCCAGGACTCGGCCTTTCTCGCACCTAGCTGGGTTTCAGCCACTCCCTGCCCAGTCAGCCACTCTGTCTGACACATCTCTAGTCAATACCCACTCTCAGACCTGGTTGGACCCCGGACTGGCCCCATGGATCTGGATAATGATCACCTTGACTCTCTCCAGCCGAGAGACAAACTCCTCTCAACCAGACAGCGAGCAAGGCAAAGCCAATGCTAAGATCAATAAAAACAGGAGTGAAATGTGGGCGGTCAGCCAGACACATGACAGACAGCAGCTCCAGCAGTATCCTCCCTGCTCCACACAGATCTGCACCGTCAAGCTCATCGTACCTGTCCTTACCTGGCAGGCAGGGGACACAACTCAGAGGGGCCAGGGCTGCACCCACCCCTCCACTGACAGCCTCAGCAGAAAACGCCTGCACTCCTGCCTGCCTCCTTTTACCTGCACTCTGGGCTCCTGCAGCTGGCTTCCGGCCTTTGCCCTTTGGAACAGGGGGCAATAGTTCAACTTCCTCCTGAGGCATCTGGGCCACTTTCTGCAGAAAGATTTTCTCTAAAGCCTGGGCCATTAGCACTATGTCATCTGTGGGCTGAAGACAGAGAACCCAGGTCACTTGCCATGAAGGGAGCTGTGCACTTACAAAAGACAATGTAGGTTGCAGTTCAAGAAAGCATTAAATTTTGTTAAGAGGCTTGGTGTAGAGGAAGGGCAAGAGTAGTATTTTTCAATGTGGAAAATCCCAGAAGAATAGAAACAAAGACAAAGTATAGAGATAGCCTTCACCAAGCAGAGAAAAGGAGCTTCCACAGCTTGGCTCCAACACCTTTCCCTTTCACGCCGCTAAAAGATCAAATCCCCAAGCAGGGCCCCCTGTGACTGCAGCCATCTGTTCCTACACTGACCACTCTTCAGGGTTCCCAAGTCAGAGTGCTCTGTATAACACTTTGGGTGGCTGCCCATTGGGTCACAGTCTACTTGACTACCTCCTCCTGATGGCAGGCTGGGCCCCCAGTTCTGTACCCTTAGGCTTTCTAAGGGTGGGGCTCTCAGGTCTCAGGATAGAGGCCATGTCAGTGACCTCTGAAAACTGTCCAGTTTCCACTGACCCCCAGCAGGCCATTGGAATAGCATAGGGACTCACTGACGACAAAAGTGCCAGGGTATTGCCTGCTGCAACCCCCAAGAGCCAGGGCAGAGGGCCCAGACTCACAGGGCACCTGTGAACCAACGTCATGCCAGGGACCCGGGCCTCCCAGTGCCAAGCTTGCTCCCTCAAGCAGCTCTGGGGCTCATGTTTTGTGTCTCACCTTGTTATAAATATAACAGTTTGTAAACATGGTGTTGAAGTCCTGCATACACTCACTGGCACTCCAATAATAATTATTTTCTAGTCTCTTCTTGATAGTCCCCATGTCCATTGGGTTTTTTATTATTTTATGATAATCCTAGGGGAAAGATGTTCAGAGGTGTTAATCAAAATAGTGTTATTCTCACATTTCCCAAGCACAGCAAAGTCTTCTTAAGTCAGCTGGACCCCAGGGCCAGACCCTGAGGCCTAAGAGCAGGTGGGGCATGTGGTCTGAGGAGACTCTTGGCCAGTCCCAAACTCCTGCCAAACCTGTTCTCATGGGTTTCTCCAGCTGCAGGCAGAGCCCAGGCTGGTCCACGTGCACACAGAGCCAAACTCCCTGATTCTAACCTGCAGGTGTCCAGGGCCCGAGCCGTGCACAGAACCAAACAAACCAGCTCTTCAGGTGTCTCTATTTGTATCCAGATAAAATTTATGTGTGCACTGAAGGGGCCATCACCTGGAAAATAGGCCTTATTGCACACCTCACATCCAACTGTGAGTAATTCTGAAGAGTGTGCAGAGGCACAGCCCCTAGTGCATGAGATAAAGACTTGCATGGCTCTCTGCCTCAGGCCCCATCATCCTCTAGCCCAGGGGTCCTCAACCTTTCTAACACTGTCACCCTTTAATACAATTCCACATGCTGTGGTGACCCCAACCATCAAATTATTTTCATTGCTACTTCATACTGTAATTTTGCTACTGTTATGAATCATAATGCAAATGTCTGTGTTTTTGGATGGTCTTAGGTGACTTCTGTGAGAGGATCACTAGACCCCAAAAGTTATCATCTGCAGGTTGAGAACCACTGCTCTAGCCCCTTCCTTTTATTCTTTCACCACGGGAGCCATAGGTTCTCCCCATTTCCTGTACCCAGGGTAGCCAGACTGCTAGACCAATGGCTTCCTGAGGCACTGAGGCACGGGCAGCACCTGCTGTATCTCAGACACCACCTCTGGGCTAAGGGCCACTCACAGGCAGGTTCAGCTTGATTGCATCCACAGGCTGGTAGAACGGCCAGGCGAACTGATGTTTCCAGAGTGTTTTCACCACCACGTTCTGCATGTACTGCAGTTGGTTAGTCTTTCGGCCAGGCTTGCTGGGGTTGGAGACCTCAGGTGGGGGAGGGTTCACAGGGCCCGGGGCTGCCGGGATCCCCGTGGGGGCAGCTGCTGTGGTAGTGGACATCCTCTGGCAGCTCTTCACTTGCTGTCACAGCAGCAGCTCAGAGAGGCGCTCCTCACGGAGGCTTGGCATCCCATTTCGGGGCCCAATCAGGCACCTACAGAAGCAAACAGAGAAGCTATCACTCTGAGAGCCTCCACCTCAGCAAGGACACAACCTTCCCTACCGCCTCCGTGTGTGGCTGTGGCACTCCTCAGAGCCACCCGGCCACCGGCTCCCAGAAAGGGAATGGCAGAGTATGAGGGACCTAGCCCCTTTCAGCTCACAGCCCCAATGAGTGGTTTGGGCTGCCTCAATTTTACCCGGATTCTCAACTACTTGGCTGTGGCAATGTTTTAAACAATTCAGGCTCAGACAACTACAACATGTACTCAACAGCTTATCTGAGAGATGAGCAACAACTAAAGTTTGCAGACTTAAAACCTAGCATAGGGAGCTAGTGCCCTGGGCATTGCATGGCGTGAGGTTCTAATGTAACCAGGAGAACCAGCTGGGGTTTGTGATGGTGGCCAGCTGTGACATGCCTGACCCTCATCCAATCAGAATGGTGAAAGAGGGTGATCACAACCTGCGGTCCTCTTCGGTATCCTGTGTGCTCAGTTCCTGAACAAGACACATTCTGCAACTTCAAGTCCCCTATCCTAGCTATCAGGAATGCTGGCCACCCATAGAGCTGGGGTGTCCATGACAGTTCTGCAAATCTCTGAAAAGCCAGGGTAATGTGCAACACTGGTAGCATGCAGGGCGTCCCCACTCTAACTCTCACAGGGCACCTCCACTGCATGGTGTCCTGCTGCATGGTACTCCCATGGCACAGCACTGATACATGCAGCAGAAACTCAACAGTGAGGATACTATAAAGCAGAGGTAGCACACAGTAGGACTACTGTGTGCTGTGTGGCAAGAACACTGTAAGAATACAGGTGTATGTGGCGGGGGGGG